AATGCACTTCTCGACCGTGCGCTCAGCAATATCAGGCTGAATGGCCTGAAGATTTTTGCCAGCGCATAGTCATCCTTTGGTGGTTTGGGAATGAAGACCATGCAGACTTTTCTCCAAAGGAGTGGGAACGTGGCCAAATGCCAGACAGGCCCTAAAGGCTCTTATTAGCGCCCCTATAAGCCTGTCTCTCCCTCAATTCAGCATTTTCGGATACACACCATCTGGGCGCGGTGATTTGAAGTCGTCAAAAGAGGCTAAAGAAAACCTCACTGACTCCTCAGTCACCATTTGTGATGCTATGCACCTATTTAGTCTGGTGGCTCTTCCCGTCGCGCTATCCTCCACCATATCTCTGCCTGCCCAGAAATTATCCTGCAACCCAGAAAATGAGTTTTCAAAAGAGTTTTGTATGTGTCTAGCATCGACGTGGTATAAGTTCCATCAGATTTTATGAGAGAATCAAGCCTAACCGTCAAGTCCTGTTGAAGTACCTTACACAGCCTGGCAGACTCTTTCATGTTGTCGATATTATTGCAGAAGTCCTTATAAGAGCAATACCTCGTATCAACTTTTTGGTCTGAATCTTTTGGATGTGCAGTTTTATAGCCATAATAATTTTAGTATGAAGTGCAAGTTTCAAACGGCTAAAAAATCGCCTTGATTTTTGAGAATTTTTCTTTTTGTGACGGATATTTGGACTTTTTCCATATAAGCATGAATGTCTTATGATACCGTTAGCAACAAAATTTCCAATGATGAAAAGTTTTTGAATTTTCCTCAATTTTTTATAAAGTTTGAAATTTTTGCTCAAAAAACATTACGAATATTAAAAAAAAATCAACACGTGGCCATTTGTTTGAGTCACTGTATGTATACATATAAGTAATAATTTCTTGCTTACAATATTTGCCAAACGAAGGATGCAATTAAGTAACTTAACAACTTATTCAGAATTTTGATATAATAATTTTAATTGCAAACTCAATTTTGCGCTTTCCTTTTGCGAATCTTTTTATTACCTTTGTCAATCTTTCTTCATTAATAGTGCTACGCAGCCATGTTTTCAACCGGCGAAGGGTTAAAAATCTTCTTTCTGAAGTAGCGTTACTAGCTGGAATTGTACCCAGAATGAGGAGAAGTTTGTTAATGTATGGAAAAGCATATTCGTCGCATTTACCAAGAACTTTTGCTGCTGATTTTGAGAATGACTTTTCGCTAACCTTCTTTGTCCATCCTTCTGACCACACTTTATGCACTCCTTTCCAACTGATAGCGTATTTTTCTAAGAAAAATTCGTATCGTTTTCCAAACGATGCTACGCGTTCGAAAGCATTATGTTTTTCATATACTTAGCGTATTTCATATATTCCCCAATTTTAGGTGGAAGTGAATAAGTTCAAATCAAAAATGTTTTATGTCTCTTTCAGCAATATTTCTCGGAGATCGAGCAAAAGATTATCCAGTAGCTGTATAAATATTGCCGATTTACTAGGGATGTTTTATATTCATTTTTATACACGTACGTATACAGGGATTGAATGAAAATGTACTTATATATATATACGTATACGGATACGTATCCTTTGCAAGGCCGAGTAATCAGAATTTTTGTGAGAATAAGAGCGTGTGTGAATCGGAAACAAAGTTCGCGGCAATTAAAATTTTTGACAACTATGAGGTGAATGAAATTTCAGTAGCTCATGAGGCTAGTGAAATTTTTGACATATGCATAGAAAGTTTTGACAATCGCATAGATTGTTGATGTGTGTAATTTTTCGTTAAATAAAAGCTTTAATTGATGAATTGAAATCAACGATGGTAGATGTTTTCTTAAAATATTAATATCACTTCAATTTGTAATATTTTATTCCGCATAAATCTGCGGCTATCAAAAATTTAATGCTGTCAAAAAATATTTCATTTCACACAGCAGATTGGCAAAACTGCCTCACCATAGTTAAAACATTATTCAACAGCTTTCCCCATAGGACATTTTTGAGACCAAATAATTTGAAACAAGTAAGAGCAGCGCTGTCTTCGGCTATGCCGAAGGCTTCATACCTTTCATGAACATCTGCAAATTTTAGTTTGACAGATTACTGATTTTGAATACATCAGCATACATCGATAGAGGAGTTACATACTTATATGAAAAATCGCCTCTAAACAATCAGAGGTATGGAGGATATACTTTATATGGCACCAATCTAAGTGATTTTCACTGCTATGTGATCGGTACGTAAACCGGTAACACAATTTATTGGGATATATCGCAAAACCTGGTATCTGCATCGGCGTAGCCAGAATGAAATTTAGCTCGACCCTATTAAGCTGGCATTTCAGGGTACTGTTTTATATATATATAAGGAAAATTTGAAAGTTAGGAGGGGGGGCTCGAGCACCCCCTGCCCCTACCTGGATACGCCCATGGGTATCTGAACAATCAGTGCTATAGTAGATAAAGCTTATACAGCATAGATTTTGACGATTTTCTCAGTAGACTTTGTATTATTATTTATAAAATATCTTACGAAATTTATCGGTTTTAGCTGTTCAAATAAAGGAGTTTTACAGTAAAATCCCATATCTGAACAATCAGATGTATGGAAGATATATGTTGTAGTCACCCGATCCTTGTTATTTTCACTGTAAGTGTTCTGTTAATAATGAGTGAAAATGGTGCGAAATTTCATGTTCCTAGCTACTTAAATGGATGAATTATAACGAAAAATCTCATATCTGAACAATCAGTTGTATAGGAGCTATAGGTTATAGTTATCCGATCTTTTTAATTTTCACTCTGTAAGTTTTCTGTTGATAATTATTGAAAACAGTGCGGAATTTCCTGTTCCCAGCTATATAAATGGAGGAGTTATAACGAAAAATTTTATATCTGAACAATCAGTTGTATGGGAGCTATAGGTTATAGTGACCCGATCTTTGTAATTTTCACTGTAAGCATTCTGTTGATAATGGGTGAAAGTGCTGCGAAATTTCATGTTCTTAGCTGCATAAATGGAGAAGTTATAACGAAAAATCTCATATCTGAACAATCAGTTGTATGGGAGCTATATGTTATAGTGGTCCGATTCTTCCGGTTCCGACAAATGATTAATACATTATAAAAATACACCCACCTGCCAAATTTGATCCGGATATCTCGAAAACTGAGAGACTAGATTGCATACAAACAGACGGACAGACGGACAGACGGACATGGATAAATCAACTCAGCTCGACGTTCTGATCATATAAGTATACATTTTGATGGGTCTATCTCTTTTTGTTCTGGTACTTACAAACATCGGACCAAAGTTATAATACCATTTCATGCTCATGAAAGGTATAAAAAATCAAATCACCTGATACCACCTGTTCAATGCGGCTTGCCGTATGCCAACTCCCCAGGCATTGTTTTCACTGATAAAATTTTCAATTTAAAATTTTTGTAAAAAGTTTAGTTTTTAGTTGCACTGTGTGCATTAGCAACATTGTCAATTATTCCGCTTTTTAGCTATGAATACACTGAGGGAAAAAAATATTAAAATCAAATAGAAACGTAATTGATCTTACTATAAACGTCAACGAAAGTACTGTATTTTGGTAAATATTCAATTCAATTTCGCGCATATTAAAATTACCGCGTTCGTACTGAAAAAGCATCTGTGAAGTGAATAATCAAGACAAAAACTAAAAAAAGAAATTTAATTTGCATGTTGCCTGCAGTGTAATTCGAACCCGACCATCTGCGAATATCAACAACTTGTGGCAAGCATCTCTGCGCATTCAGCTACACCCAGCCATATAAATTTGCTTTCAAATGTTGAATATCCATCAACACCACAGCACGCGATTTGTACGGATAAACATGTATGTACTATGTATGTATGTGTTTGTTATCACCGCTCTCAGAGCGGCTCTCTGGATGCTTGGGGTGCGTATGTACACTTACATATACATACTCAGATGTGAACAGTCAAATACGTGCTTAATAAATTTTGTATGAAAATATTATTTTTAAATACGACCATTTTTAAACGATAATTAAATATAAAGTATTCATTTTTACTATGCATTATTTCCCTCAGTGTATGCCTGATCTCGTACTTCTCGGACTAAATCTAGGAAAACTGTCAAATTATAAAAAGTCGCTCAAGCAAGTACGGTATCGATAAAAAAAAGCTTGTTAAAATCCGGTAAAAGGTGGTAAGTTCGAACTGCGCACGGGATCAACATAATTTTAATATAAATTCTTATTTGACATACTCCACAAGGAAATTTTTTATTACCACCGCAACCTTCCCAAATTGGGTTTTTAAGGAAAAATTAAATTAAATGCAGGGTTTTTTATCAGTAAGTTTATCCCAAAATATTTATTAGTTATGTATTACACCGTGCGACGAAAAAGCCAATATATTCACAAAATTAGAGGCCAAATATAATAAAACTGCGTTCTTAGTTTTTCTCTCTGACGCACAGTGCTGCCGAAATTCAAAAGAGCGGCAAAACTCTAAGGCTTAAAGAAATGGTTCGAAATTTCGTACTAGGGGTTTTCGAGGTCCCTACTTTCAAATCCGCTGTAAGAATAGCAAAATTCAAAACGGCGGATCCAGTAAGGCTTCTGGTAAATTTAGAATTCTTAGAACGATTTTGAGTATACAGTTTTATAGCCCAGTCAATTTTTGTGTCAGAAAGTGCAAGCTTGAAGTAGCTACACCCAGAAAAATATCCTCGATTTTTAAGTAACACGATCCATGTTAAATTCACATGAAACAGTTGTACACACGAAACAACAACAATTTTTCCATTTTAACATGATATTTTTAACAGGAAAAAAGTGTTAAGAGTCACATGAAGTATTTTTGGTTAATTTACCAAGATATAGTGTTAAATTTACATGTGAATAGTGTTAAAAATATATGGCAACGTGATTCCTGTTTGTTGCAACCTGAGTTATTGTAAAATTTACATGAGGGTTTTTTTAAATAATGTTGATTCAAACACATTAAGTGTTAAATTTACATTTAGTTGATGTTAAAAAGGTCTGGCAACATGATTTCTGTTTGTTTTGACATGAGCTATTGTGAATTTTACAGGGTATGTGGTTAGAGAACATAAAAGTACCGTAATATTTTATTTGCGTGCGCGTTCTTCGTCATTCGGTTGCATTTTTATTTGGTGTATTATTTGTGAAAGATTATTAAAAAAAGCTATTTAAATATTAAGAAGAATGGGTACAGAAAATGTCTTTGGGGAATCGGCGGGCATATATTTCGTTGTTGATGGTGATTTAACCATGGGGAATGAAGTTGAGACTTCACTGCAGCAAAGCCAAGCCACTGAAGCTTCACGTGAAAAAGAAAATTTGAAAGACGTCGTATGTGGTAAAATGAACTTCAGTGAAGAAGTTTATCAAAGAATTCTCGGTAAGTTCTTTGAGAATCTGCGAGGAACCATATGCATATTTATGTTATTGACAGATTGCGGAATGGATGTAGAAAGTCTGTATTTCATCAACGATGGGGACATAAATGAACTTTTCCCTGCATCAATGCTCGGAACGAGAGTAAAGTTTAAAGAAAGAGTTGCACGTTGGCGACAGAATGAAGTAAGTAAATCATTTTCACATCGATGATAAGCTTTGCATACTTTTTTTATTTTAAGGCTGATACCATTTCGTCAATAGGATCATGCAAGAGTTGGATAAATTCTAGCCAAGAGTCTCACGACTCGATAAGAGACATGGAAGCAAAGAATTTAAAGTTAATACTTAATGCCACTGAAAGAGGTCAAAGCATCTTTAAACAATATAGAGAAAAGACCGTGCTGTCAGATGTTAGTCGTGACATTTTGGTAAATACCATTGTTGACCACTTCTCAGCGCGATCAGTGCCTATGACAATGAAAGATATCATCACCTTTTCTGAGCAAATAACAATTTTATTTCCCAACGAAGACATGGTATGTATGCATTTTCATATTAACTTGCTATCAAAATTTGTAAATACATATGTAAAGGAGGATCAAGTTTCAAGCGGATAAAAAATAGCACTGATTTTTAATAATTTTTTAGCTGACAGATTTTTGCCCTTTTTTCCTTATAAGCATGAATTTCTTACGAAATAAAAAGTGGAAGAAAGTTCGAAACTCTGATTTATATGGTTTTGGCTAAAGCTTGGATACAATTTTTATAGAAAAATAACAGAATAAATTTAGCTTGAAAAACGTTGTGAATATTAAAAAAAAAAATTCAACACTTAAATGCATTTATTTTACTTTTATTTAGCGCTATTACTGCAACCGTCGAAATGGCGAAAATCCAACAGGCAAACTTTATGATAAGGCAACAAACATCCGAAGGAAAATAAAAAAAGAAACAGGAGCACTAAGCGTTGCACCTAAATGTCAACCCACTCAATCAAGTTTGTCGGAGCAGGCGAGCAATAGTAAATTTAATTTTACAAAAACGTACTTATCTATGTACGTGTATGTATGTATATACCACTATATTTGGCCCACAGTTTCGTGAGTATATTGATTGCTTCGTGGGTTTCGAAATTTTTTTGTTTTTGTCGTTGTTGTTGTAAAACAGGAGGCTATATACTTGTTTCAAATCGAAGATATTGTTGTAAGCTTGATGCAAAAACTTTTCTTTATTTGTTCACAGTGGGAAATTATAAATTTCAGTACACATATTCAGTCATACTTGGTAGGTGAAAAATCAGATAGTTATAGTTTTATAAGTGCAGACAAAATTAGCTCACCTCCTGTACATATTCATATTCTTCAAAACAATCAAAAAGCAATCCGTTTAAAAAGTATTTAAAACGATTTGATACAGTTTTTATGCAGAGCTTAGAAAAACTCAACAAATTTTTATAAAAATTGTAGACTTTTAAAACTTTCAAACTTTTTTGGGCATGCAGTTTTATAGCCTCTTAAATTTTAGTCTGATAAAGCGCAAGTTGTAAGCGGATAAAAAATCGCGTTGATTTTTAAAAACTTTTTCATTGTCAGTTTTTATAAATTGCACTTGTTGTATAAAAAAAACCGCAAAAGCCGTCAGCAATTTTTTATCCGCTTAAAACTTGCGCTTTATCATACTAAAATTTAACAGGCTACAAAACTACCCAAAAATGTTTGAAAGTTTTTTAAAAGTCCATAATTTTTATAAAAATTTGTTGAGTTTTTCTAAGCTCTGCATAAAAACTGAAAGTTTGATTTATATAGTTTTGGTTAAAGCATAAACCATGTTTTCATAAAAAAGTAAGAAAAAAAATTTAACTTTAAAAACCTTGCACATGTACAACAAAAATCACCATGGACTCAGTTTCGCACTATAGTGTATGTATGTATGTACATATGAAATTTTTGTGTATGAATTTTGTGTAATAAATAGATAAGTACTTAGTTTTTAAGTCAACAGTGTAAATATTTAAATTTTTTTAATAAAAATAAACTAAACAAATTGTTATTTATTTTGTAAAAGTAGGGACACAAGGTAACACGATGTCATATTAAAATAACATTAAAATATGGTTCTTTTAACATGAAGACGTAGTGTTATTTTAACAACAACTCCTGTTGATTCAACCAGTATTTTCATGTAGAATATCCTGTGAAACCAACCACATGCCTTGTTAAAATAAACCGATGTTTCAGGTTAAATTTACAGCACTTTCAATGTTAAATTAACAATTATCCAATGTTAAGTCAACAAGAGGGAAAAATGTTAAAAAATTTCCTTCATGTGAAAATAACATGACATATCGCGTTGAAAAATAATAACCACAAAATTGGTTAAAATTTGGTTGTTTTAACACGATTTTTTTTCTGGGTGTAGGACTTACCGTTGATTTTTTAGAACAAGTAACTATTCTGTAGAATTGAAAGTGTGCTTTTGTAAATTTATCCTTGAATATCCTTTGAAATTTCCAATAATTATTTATGATAAAAGTACTATATAAGGACTTAGATGTAAACTACCACATCCTGGAATATCGTCCTTCTAACTTTATTAGATGTGGACAAAACTTCTCTTAATAAGATATTGATAATTACGATATAAATGAAGATATTGGAATCATTATTATGGAACCATGCATGCGCTCTTAAATAATTATGTTGTATAATTGTGTAATTATATATTTGGTGCATATTTAAATCGGTTCCGAGCCGTATATCCGTAAAGTTACATGTCACTTAAAATACATTTCCTGGAGAGCCATTTGGATTTTTTACCCGAAAACTTAGGCAAAGTTAGTGATGAGCACGGACAGCGGTTCCACCAATGGCGTTAATTGAAAATCGCTTTCGGGGAAAAGATATGTGCCAAATGCTCCGCGAATATTGCTGGTCAGGGATGACAAATTAATTTTTCGAAATTATACCAAACGTCAGAAAAAAATCTACCAAATCAAATAAAAATATACCAACAAAAGCAACAATTTAACAATATAACAAAGATTGTTGTCAGATCTTGTAAGTGCTACACTCTTGCACAACATCACGGCAACACTGATCCTGAGCTTGCAGGTGGGCTATGCTGAAATTTATTTCTCCTCCACAGGTCTATCCGATAGGACTAGGTAAATTGTGAGATACTAAACTTGTGCAATTCCCTGATCGGCTGGCTCTTCATTAGCTGTTCGGATAGGGCTGCCAGATATCTCCGTTGCCAAACCGGAACACTTTGGTAAATCTAATAACACAACATATTTATATGAGCGAACTTATATTGAGCGAATTTCTCTCCTTAGCCCATTGAGATGAAATAAGAGAACAAATTGACCAGCATTAGAGTTATGACTAGTAGGTATGGCCAAGGTGTATAAAACAAGGTGCGGTTGACAACTTAGTGAGGCTCTCTTTTAAGATAATATAACGTCAAAAAATATAAACAAATGAGGCACTCTTCTGTGTAAGCCGAAAGGAATTTATACTCTCTCTCTGGCATTTTCTAAGAGTAATCAAAAGACTATAAACACACATTTTTATATTATATAAAGTTTGTCGCGAAAACTTACATTGAAAGTAAAGCACGCACGAAAAACAAACAAGCAAATCAAATAAAAAACAGCTGATGCTAATTAGGAAGAGCACTTTGCACTTAAAGGTATGTATGTATGTGGGTATATCGATCAGTGTTGCCACGGAAAAATTTTTTTTCCTACCAAAACTTCCTAACAAAATCAATGAGAACCTACCAAAATTTTATTATAGTTTTTAATATTTTTTTTAACGTCAAGTTTATTAAAAATGTAGATAACATAATACTTAGAAAAACTATAACACAACTAGTACAGTAAAAACAAATAAACTACGTATAACTGTTCATTTTACTGTACAGACTTATACAAATGTTTGTCCCTTTATAGATACATATTATTATTATTATTATTAATACTATTATATATTATATCATTGTCCTTAACCCTAATTGTAATCACTGCAACCTCATTCTCTTTAAGAAGTTTGACACTTTGGAGGGCGCCATGTTTAAAATTTTGGATGAAGAAGACAATCGTTCCCCAAAGTGTATCAGTCTGCTATTTATGATACGTGGGATCCACGCTTTGCGAGACAGTCAGCTTTGGTTGCCTTCAAACCCTTCATGTCCCGGAACCCACCACAGTGTTTAGTTATTGTAAGCTTTCAAGTGGTTCAAAAAAGTTTTACAGCTTTCCACAAGCCTGCTGCCATTTTAAAAGCGCCTAAGGCCTTTAACCTGCTTGACTATCCGACATAATATTTCATTTGGCCCCATTTGTCCTTCTACACAGACTTCGATTGCGAAGACTTTCGCCTGGAATATAGTTGGGTATGTGTAAATTGACAGGCTTTCTGGATTTTGGCCCAAATACGCCTGCCCCAGTACTCTCGTCGTCCATCTTTGATCCGTCGGTATACGATGCCTGGGACCTTTTGTCAATCATAGTTATTATCACTTCACAGCAATCCCTTTCAGGAATTCTAACCTTGTAGGGTTTGTAGAAGGATAGCTCGGGGTTATCCAGGAATGGCTTTAGAACCTCCAAATGACCCCGAAGATCCCAAATTTTCTTGTTGGTCATATTGGCCAGTCGTAGAGCTCTCCAGCAGGCCTCTTTTTCAAACAGAATAGGCAAAGGAGGAATGCCTGTAATGACACCAAGAGCATCCGTTGGACAGGTGCCCCTAGCTCCTGTAATGGACACGCGGACTAGTCGGTGCAGCTGGTGACAACTGGTCTTACTACCATATTAAAAGGCCAATAGGTTAGTTCTGGTGATATTCCTCAAGTCTTACAATGAAGTCTCTGTCAGGTGGACAATGGTGGAAATATTCGTGTAAACAAGGTTGCTAAAATGTTTGGATATAAATATTTTATATTTTTCTCAAATAACTATTATTGTCACGGAACCTACCAAAATTCAATCTAGCCTACCAACCTACCAAACAGAAAAAAACCGACCAGTTTTGGTAGGAAAAGCCCATGTTTGCAAAGTCCAACTATCTGGTGATGTACCGGTAGTGATTTTGGAACTTTTATTAAAATTTGTGCATATAAATCGAAAACCGGGACACTCAAACGAAACCTGGGATATTTTAAGGTTGGACCGAGACACCGGGACAAATAGTCCAAAATCGGGATATGTCCGTGAAAACCGCGACGTCTGGCAGCCCTACGTTCGGAGCGAGTTGAAACTCATTAAAACGTGCCCGCAAAGTATGTATACCATGACCAGTACGTACACCAATCCAGCAGTAAAGAATGCATCTATCAGCTTAAAAATAATATGTATGTTAAACACAGTTTTCGAAATTTGTAATGGGGTTTGTAGTGCCGAGAGTTGCAAATGAGCAGTGGAAACCCTGAAATAACCCGTGGTTAGTTTCTTTTTGTTTACATTTTTTAACACTCTATCAGTGGGAAAATGAAAGCGAATGGCTATTGCTACGCAGCCACAATAAAATTGATATGCGCTCGTAAATTTTAATATATTGCAAAAAAACTGTCATGACGATAAATTAAGAAATAAATTTCAATTTCACTTTAACTTGAAAAGTTGTTAAAGTCATTACTCTATTTGTTGTTGGGTTTTTTTGCGCGCTCTATCTCGTTTATTACAATCATATTTTTCCACTGTCCGGCCTGCAGAGCCAGTATGATGTTAAAAAAATTAAAAAAAGCTATTTGTTTGATGCTACTACCGCATTGTTGTATTTGTTGTTGATGCAAGTAAACATTTTATTGCATTGTGTTGTAGTTGTTGTTGTCTTTATTGCCATATCTGCGTATTGTGTCGTTATTGTGTTGAAATTGTGTGGCGTTTTTCATTTGCCTCGGTTGAGTTGAGTTCGTTTTGGTTTGTTCGTTATGCTGCAGCACACAAATTGTGATAAATTTATTTTAAAGTGAATTATATGCCGGACAGCTGGA